GCCCTCATGTGAACACGGTAGTAAGCAAACATAATTAACACTTATATTTATATACATGTATGTAGATTACCAATATTGTTCATCATATAACATTCTCATCCTTTTTATAACTCTAGAAATGAGATCCAAAAAGCATGAGGTGTGACACTTAAATTTTCATTACAAGAATTAACTAGAGTTTTTTAAAAATATCTTCAATATAGATTTTCAAAAGTCTAGTAGGATCCTCGATGTGTTTGTGTGTCGTTTACATATTAGGTACTTCTTCTTGGGTCTACTGATCTGAAAGATGACGCGATGAATACGAATGAGTTTCACTTACTCAGTAAAAATATGACAATATTTTTGACAACTCTTTTTAACAAGATGTTAACTTTAAAACTGTTAAAAACTTCATAATGAAAACTTTCTTTATAATTTTTTTTAACTGAATTTATTCACTTATTTATTTGTATTAATTATTATTTTAATTTTTTTATCTTAGTTTAGAATTTTAATTTTATTATACTTACATTCATTTGTCACTTGTACTAATATTTGCACTTTCACTCACCTTTACACTTTTGCTTACATTAAAATTTACACGCATACTGAGATTTCATCGTATGATACTATTTTAACTAATATCAGTGACGATAATAAGAACCTCATATATCACATAAACAGTTTATACTTAACATAATGTGCCATGGTGGTAACATTTATTAGGTGAACACTAACACTAAACACTTTCCTATCCATGTCTGAATTAAACATTAACACTTAACTATGGGTAGGGTTCACCATACTTCTTGCTGAATTTTGGCCATATACGAAAATTCACCTCCTTAATACGCGGTTAAATGGATTTCAAGTTTTCTCAATACCCTTTATTTCTTGTTCCTCTCTTTCATGTATTTTTTTTTGTTTTCCTTGCAATTACGTCGATTTTTTTATTTATTTTTATGATTTTTTATATTTTTAATTCTTCATAACCCCTTGCTTTTTTATTTACCCCTATGTCTTTATGTATGTATATACTCCAATTTAATCATCCTTTGTTATAGCCTCCATTTTTACCTCATATAATTTCTATCTTACTTTTAATCACATTTTTTATTTGGGTGTTCGTTCCATGTTATTCAATTATTATAAATTTTCCATCTTATTTTATTATCTATTTATTTAAATATCTACCGTTCAAATTTTTGCAGGGTTTCCATTTCACTCCTCACTAATAATTTCTCTATAGGTTCTTTTTAATATTAGTCTATATATGTCTAATCTATTTTTATTTCAATTCTTGAAGTTTTCCTCTCACTTCCCACTTAATTCTTTATGTGTGTACATTCATTAATAGATTTGTTACGAATTTCCATGATTTTTGGCATTCCTTTATTAGCTTCCTCTTATGTTAACCATATTCTTTTGCTTTGCAATTTATAATTTACATATATATATTCGTGTAAGTGTAGATTTTGCTAATTTCTTTTCTACATTTTCTAGGGTACTTAAATTCCTTACCAAAAGACAAACATTTTTGCAATTAGACATTTTTAAATATAATATTTAGAGATTTTGCCAAATCCTTAAGTCATTATTAGTTTACTTCATCTGTTATATTTTAACACAAAACCCAATTCTTATTTCCATTATTATTGCCCCTTATTTTACCAAGCAAATAAAACGAAATCCTTATCCTCATTTTTAGATAAAAATTTTACTTAACAATCAAAACAAAACTCTTAATATCATTATTAGCTTTTTCTTTTCTTTTAATTTACCTTCCCTATTTCCATTATTGCATCCTTTAATCATATACAAAAATATAACTTTTTGAATGTGCATTTCTATTTTCCGAATCTTCTTAATTTTCTCTTAACATTAATTCACATGTATATGTATAAATATATGTATTGAGATACCCATATCACTCACTATTGTGAAAATTCACATTCCACTATTTTTAATTTCCATTTCATTTTCTGCTTATTCTTAAATGTGTGCTAATTTCATTCCATCATTATTATTTTTTTTTTTAATTTCCATTTTGAGCTAAATATTCTTGTAATAGTTATCAGTTCAAATTTATTTGTTTCTCTTATCTTTCCCATTCCTAAGCACCTAGCAAGCACCACAGCATCCCACCAACACACAACCAAATTTAAAATAAAAAATCAAAATGAAATAAACAAAAAATATTGTACAAAAAAACCTTTAAAAGTGGTTTCATCCACAAGGTCTGGTTGTGTAACACCCCGAAAATCTTTTGCATTTAACATGCATCGAACTCCATTATTTTGGGCCTCTTGGCCATTTAAACCTCCCATAATAGTTAAATTTTATGATATTTTGCTATACCATAATGACAAGTATCAAAGGAAAAAATCAACGAGGCAGGAAGCAAAGCCCATAAGCCCGCGATTCGACACGCTGTTAGCCCGCACGAGCAACCCCGCGTGTGCACATTACGCCACATGGCTGCACACAGTGCGCAATAAGGTTGCACCTGCACGCGTGGTAGGCAACTAACAGGTGCACAGTGCGCGATATCGCCACCTACACGCGTGCCCAGCACGTAGCAAGGCCGTGCATAGCGTGCTGATAGCCAGTAGCCGATGAGACGACTGTGTTATCCCATTGACCATGCTTGGCCATGCTAAGTGGGCCCCACGACCACCCGCTTTGCTCCCCTTAGCTCCTTTGATTTTAACACCTTGTCGCACATTTGAACTGCCTTTTTTGCCTATTTAAAGGCCCCTGTTTCCCACATCCTTTCACACTCCCTTTTCCCTTCCATTTTTAACTCTTCTTAGCACTTCATTTTTCCCTTCCATCCTCTGCTTTTTTGAGAGAAATACTTTGAAAGAGAAAGAGAGTATTTGAAGAGGAAAAGAAGCTAGAAGAAGATGAAAAAGTTGGGAACTTACAAGCTCTTCAGGGGTCTCTAAAGGTCCC